ACTTGCCTATTGCACTTTATGAAATTCGTCACAGTAAATCTGTTTCATTAAGCTAAACCTCAGCGGGATTTTCCATCCTGCGACTAGAGCACAAGGAATCCCCAGTGAAGATGCATGGATTGTTTCAATTTGTTTTCCACTGCAGGTGGTTCAGAATCAATCTCCTGGTGCCTGTCTCTTGTGCCCAGTGCAGTAGCTCCACTAGGGTACCACCCTGAGATGGAGAGTCGGTAAACGGGAGGCATGCGTACTTTCAGCTTTCCCCATCACTGCCAATGGTTCTGTGAGGAGGTGCTATCAGTGTTCCGCTCCCTCCAGCTTTGGAAGGGAGCCGTTTTCTCACATCCTTGTTAATCCCCACGCTCATCAGACTTTAATTTTTTTTGTCACTATGATGCGTGTGAAAAGAGATCTTCTTGTTTTAATCTGTTCTCTAGCCTCTTTGTGAGGTGAGTGTGTTTTTCATGTATATACTATTCAGAGTTCCTCTTCTCTGAGCCTCATTTCCAACTCCTTTATGGACGTTCGAATGGATTATTTGGTCTTTTTTGTTAATTAAAAAAAAAAACTGATTTGTAGGCTGGCAAGATGGCTCAGGAGTCAAGAACACATAGTGTGCTCTTGCAGAAGACCCAAGTTCACTTCCTAGCCCCAACATAACTCCAATACCTAGAAATCTGAATTCTGATGCCCTCTTTTGGATTCCATGGGCACTGCACTCATGTGCAGGTACACATAAGGACACACACACACTTCTACTCATTTAAGTATCTGAATTTCTCTATATAAACAGTACAAATATTTTCTTCTAGTTAGGGATAGACTTTAAGATTTAAGTCTCTTTTATTATACAAAGATTTACTTTTTTCTGCATAGGCACTCTCAGTTTTAGTGCCATAATTTCATCAGGCCATGCCTTATTAGGTTTACCCTAATTTGCTAGTAATAAAGAATGCTTATGTACATTTTCTTCCATTTTTCCACTTTTCGGGATCCATAATTTATCTATCTATCTATCTATCTATCTATCTATCTATCTATCTATCTAT